AGAATGTTGTTGGGATCAAATAGGCCCCACACTTTATTGCAGTGAGATAGAGGGAAAGCTGGCATGTTGGTGCATACGTATTTATGTCATTATAACATGGCAAAAGAGATTTGAGATCACAATAATGGCGCCCAGTGGCATTTTTGAGCATGTGTCTAACGAAGCGATGCCATTTTTCAGCGGTTGAAATTCCTAGTGGCAAAACTGAGTAGTGGGAACAATCGGTGACATAAATGATAAAAACCCTTAAAAATCGCTAGAGTGGTCCAGGCTTTTGAAAAATCGCTAGAGTGGTCCACATTTCTTTGAGAAAACAACATGCGAACTACTGGATCAAACTCGCCGCTCTGTTTCTGCTTGGAATTGCGTAATGAAGTTACTCACAACAAACCAGCCCCTCCCATCGTTGCTTCTAGAAGGTTTCTTAATAGCTACATTGAGCTACATCGACTCACTATTATGTATCAAGCAACACCCTGAAACTAACTTGAAGAAGGACAAGATGGTGGTGCAATATAAACAATATCCTCGATGTTGTGTGCCCCGGGAACGACATGATCGCCAGCTACTCACTACTAGGAAAAAGCCTAGCAGCAGCGCGAGTTTTATGCCTATCAGTAGCGCGGGGCGATGCGCTACTGATAAATCGCTACAGCTAACGTATAGCAGTAGCGTGCCTCCGTCCATGCTACTGCTAAATCGACTTAGTAGTAGCGACTTCGCGAAGGAGCGCTACTGGTAATTACTAGTAGCGCTTCTCCCAGCCCGCGCTACTACTATTATTCCGTATTTTATTTCTTTTTTATTTCATGTTGTATTCATACACCTCTATACAAGTTTTCATACAGCAGCAATTTAAAGATTGTTTTTACATCATAATGAGTTATTATATCATTGGGTGAAAGAACCGTGCCACTTGAAACTAATCTGCGGTTCTTTCACGCAATGATATAATAAATATCATCATCATCATATCATTAACAACTTATCATCATAATACATCATTTTCATATAACACCTCCTCATGATCATCGTTTTGATCGATGGGACATCACATAGCAAGTTGGTCACTAGTCATAATCACAACTACTCCTCATCATCAACTCTAACACATTGTATCAAATAATAAACCTATTGTACCTCATAGGACCTACTATATTCTCTAAGGTAAAATAGCAAAAAACAAGATAGCCCCTGGCTCTCCATTATGGAGAATGCAGATTATCCTGTCTCCAATTCTTGCCTTTCGCTTAATGTTGCTTCCAAGAACCTCCTTACGAATGTCCAAATATTTTTTCCACTCTTTGATTAGTATGTGTTCACCGGTTTCAAAAATCCGATATGCACAGGTGAGATCCGTAGGATGACCTGGTTGTATGTTCAGAACTTCAAAGCGACCATTGTAATACATCAGATGAGGCACACAATCCATCGGGATTTTTTGTTGAAAAACATAGTAATAACTTCGTAGTTAGCAATGATGTACTAGTTTTAGAAGTATGCAAAAGATGAACGGATGTCATAATAGTAAAAAAATCTTACCAGGGTATCTCCATAGAAGTTATCGTGGTTCAACACGTGCACTAGTGGCACGTATTCACCATAATTTGGAGTTTGATAATAGGTATTGTAATTCTTAAAGAAAGTACAAAATGCGATCCGATGATTTTTCTCCTTATAAGTTAATTCAGAGCCATCGGTGTAGTGGGTTTTGTTTACCATCTTCCGCACATTCTTTGAAGAATGAAAATAAGCTGTCAATGGAAATAAGTTGTCAACTATTTTGAAATAAACAATATAAATTAGTTAATAACTATGTTCGAGAAACTCACATAGCGGTAGAATCGGAAGCGTATCAACAAGGACCCAAATGTCCATATTGCTTTGCTCGATGTCAGGATCATCAAGATCCATGGTGACAATCATACCCTCATAAAACAATACATTTTGCAAAGTGCTTCCCAATTTTGGCAACCAAAATGGGTTACGCTCTGAGAATTGTACAGATTTACTTCAAAATCCATATCATGATGGGTCCTTAGGTGTATTTTCTTTGTTTCAAAATTTTCATGGTCTTCAAAACCCATCCTCTCCAAGACATAGTGTCTTGCATGGCATGGGATAAGCTAGTCGAATTGTAAAAAATGAAAATTAGACGTTGAAATAGTTGAAGTCATGCTTAATTACGAAAAAAACACTTGTCGTTGTTGCGTACCGTTTCAACATCGAAGGTTTCCTCGAGCTTAATGCTGAAGCGTCAATCTTCGTCCAGCTCAACGAACATGTCGTACATACCTCGATCGTCGTGGCACCAGCTGCACTCCCCCGGGAGACTGTCGTTGTCCGAGTACGACATTTCCTACGTTCATAATTCAAAGATTAAACTTGTACAATTAAATATATGTACTAAAAAACCTAAATTAGATCATTATTTTTTGGAAAAATCCAGCCACTCGATATTTCCTACATATTCTAGCACAAGTCATGCCAGAATTCACAGAAAAATCCGGCATGACCTTTGCTAAAAAAGGACATATCAAGCACCTGAAATTTGCTGGAACGGAAATTAATCAACACTCCGCATAGGCCACTCGGAGGTGTAAACTGAACATGAACGGCCACTTAGGCAACAACATATCCTATTTGAGCAAATATGACATGTTCAACTAGTTTTATTAATTCAATTAGTTCTTACTAAATATAAACTTACTATAAATAGAAAAAACTAGTTCTTTCTAAAAATAAAGTAGTTCAATTAGTTATATTAATTATCTTACTAGAAATACATTAGTTCTATTAATTGAACTAGTTTATTAATTTACTTACTAAACTAGTTCAACTACAACTAAAGTAGTTCAATTAGTTTATTAATTTACTTACTAAAAATAAAATAGTTGCTTTAACTAAAAAAATAAACTAGACTAAAAATAAAATAGTTGTATTAACTCAACTAGTTCAATTAAGCACTTACTATGAATAAAAATAAGCTAGTTCAACTAGTTATATTAAATTTCTTACTAATTCTATTAAACACTTACTAAAATTTAACCCTAACTAATTTGATGGACTCTAAAATTTAATCCTAACTAATTCGATGAACTCTAAAACTAATTCTACTTAACAACTACTGCCATACTTAGCATCTAATTTGATGAACCCTAACTAATTAGATGAACTCTAAAATTTAACCCTAAGAACCCTAACTAGGCAGAGGTAGGGGGGAGGAGGAGGAGGGCGTGCTCACCTCTGGCGCCGGCGGAGTTAGGGAGAGGGGCACGCGGCGTCGAGGTTGGGGACGGGGTCGGGGCGGCGGGCGCACGGCGGAGGGCGGCGATGTAGGTGGGGGTGTCGAGGTCGGGGTCGGGGGCGGCGTTGAGGTCGCGGTCGGGGGCGGGGGCGGCGTCGAAGGTGTGCGGAGAGCGACGGGTCGCGCGCGGCGGCCGACGACGATGCAGGGCGGCGACAGCGGAGGAGTAGGGATTTGGGGAAAGTGGCCGTGGGGAAGAACGAACCGCACGGTTAATTAAGTTAAAAGTAGCAGTAGCGCGTTTTAGGAAGTGCGCTGCTGCTACGGTAGCTATAGCGCGTTTCCTAACAAGCGCTACTGGTATTCCTTCTCTTTTTATTTGCTTTCCATTTAATTTTATTTTCATTAGCAGTAGCGCCTTTGTCCGTAAATGCGCTGCTACAAAACAAGCAGCGGTAGCGCGGTTCCACGTAGATCGTTACTACTATGTGCACCGTGAGAATTTTAATAGTAGCGCTTTTGTACTCGGGCGCGCTACTGCTATAACTGTATCTGTAGCGCGCTTTTAAATACCGCGTTCCTGCTAATTAGCACCAGCGTGCGTTTTTATCCCGCGCTACTGCTAATATTCTATGTATACGATTTTTCCTAGTAGTGACTTCCCCTACTCACTGGAGCCGGCCTCTGTCAGGATGGAACAAACTAAACATTGATTGAGCATTTTGTGAGAAGGATGGAACGAGAGGAGCGGGCATGATTTTGAGGAATAATGAGGTAGCATCATCTTCCATCTTGCGGATTCCTTCATATTTGTTCAAGTGCCCAGGAAGCTGAAACGACGACATGTGCAAAGGGCATTGCCGTTGCGCTAGAGTGGAGTGGACATGGCCTTTTATCTTTGACTCAGACTGCAGTGTCGCCATTGATATGTTACGCCACTGTGACTTGAGTCGGTCCCCGATGGCTGCACTTGTTAAGGAATTGAAAAAACTGTTACATTCAAGTTGAGAACATCTACTTTTGCATGTATATAGAAATCAAAATTCTGTAGTTCATGCACTTGCCCAGATGAGAAAGACATCGTCTTGCACGACCGTCTAGGTAAGGAACGGCCCGGATGAGAGGAATAAAAAAACAGTTATGTTCAGGCTGAGAACATCTACTTTTGCATGTACGTAGAAATCAAAATTTCTGTAATTCATACACTTGTCCAAATGGGAAAGACATCGTCTGGCACAGTCGTCTAGCTGAGGCACGGCTCAGATGAGATTGATCAGCTGTGCAGATCATCAGATTGTAATGACTTTTCTCAAAAAATATATCAGATTGTAATGACAACTCTTGATGAATGAAACACCATTTTTTTCTTAAAAAAGGAGTCCTGATCTTTTTTATTTTTTGAGAACAGCCATTAATCTGCCGGGTGAAACAGAAAACCGAAGGAGAGATAAGGTTTGGGCCAGCCCAGCCACAGCCTCCCCCTCGCCCCCGAGCTCAGCTCGCCTCCCCTCCGCCTCGCCTCGCCGGCGTCGCCATCTCCTCCCACCCCGCCGCCCTCATGCTCCTCCCAATGCGCCGCCTCGCCTCTTCTCCTTCCCTCCCAGCCATCTACCCGCACATCTCCCCTGCGCGGCGCTCCCTTGGGCTCCGGCGACAACATGGTCGAGGGGCGTCGGCAAGGAGGACGTCAGCGACGCCTGTGGTATGCTGCTTGGGTTCCCTGCCCGTGGCCAGTCAGTCGAGCCAATCGACAATGACCGGAGGGAATCCGGTGACGGTGGCGGGCACAGAGAGACCATCGGAGTGGAGCGGGGACGCGATACGCCGGCGTTTCCTTGATTTCTACGCCGCCCGTGGCCACAAGATACTTCCGAGCTCGTCTCTCGTGCCCGATGACCCCACCGTGTTCCTCACCATAGCTGGGATGCTTCAGTTCAAGCCTATATTTCTTGGCAAGGTGCGTCCGCATTATCAGACCATCAATTCCCGAAGTTTTAGTGGTTTCTGAGAAATTGGGGAATGTGGCGAACAAGGATAGTTTTCACTTTTCGTTTATAGTACTCCAGAAAAAACAGGAATAGAAAACACTTAACAAATTCCATGTCATGGCATATTGAACCCTACATGAACTAAAATCACAGGAATATGTAATACAAGTTGTTTGGTTGCACCACATGAGAAATGTAGGAATTTCCTTGGAGCATGGGGTGTGTGACATTGTCATAGACACAAAGCAAAATTTCAGTGAAATTTGTGCTTTGTACTTTTTTTTAGAAAAGGTTGTGCTTTGTACTTGCATCCAAACTAGCGGGTAGGAAAATTTCTTGTCGTTTCCAGTCCCTCAAATCAAACAAGCTTTACATGAAAAATTCCTAAGGAATAGAATTCTCCAAAATTCCTACTAATCAAAGATGCCCTTATGTTTCAGTCCATTAGCACAATTCTTATCGTTATTTGTTGTCCATAACAACAATAGTGCTGTCTACAGTTCAATTCAATTTCTGAGTCATTGCACTCGTAGTAACAGGGAAGGAATTTCATCGTTGTTCCTAGATACACACACTATATTACAGTCTGTGCCTGTTTGATTTTACTACATGATGAAGTCCGTGTATTGTTACTTTAGGAACCTAGGCGTGTACCATGTGCCACCACCTCCCAGAAATGTATACGGACAAATGACATTGAGAATGTGGGACGCACATCCCGACATCAAACCTTCTTTGAGATGCTTGGGAACTTCAGCTTTGGCGATTACTTCAAGAAGGACGCAATCAAATGGGCATGGGAGCTGACAACCAAGGAGTATGAACAATTCCTTTATTCCGCATGCATCATGATATCCATGATGGTAAACTTTAAGCTGTTTATCTGGAAAAGATTGCCATGTCTCCGCTTGTTATCATAGAGATGTTGTTCACACGTTTCAAATCCATTATTATGCCGGATGTGATCTTTGTCACTTTGTGCTATGCAAATACATTATTATGTCAAGCTTCAGCTGTTCTTAAACTGATCTTATATTACCTCAATGATGTTACTTGCATTTTAACTATCAGACTAGGCAAAGGAATCCACTTTACTCCACTGGGTTTTAATGGGTAGTTATAGTCCCCTGAACCTTTTGGGTCCACTTAACCTCCTGAACTTCTTTTTGGTCTACTTAACTCCTGGAACTTATAATAATGGGTCACTTCACTGTTCACTCCCTGACATCACATGTGGATGGTAATGCCATCTTCTACCTGCTTCGCGCTCAATATGTGTTGATTAGTCGGCCAGGCCCACCATGTTGTAGAAAATGATGTCAACATGCATGTGTTGGAAAAATCACTCCAAAACCAGCCTGGGGGGAGGGTGTGTGAAATGATCTGCTATTAGAATTACAATAGTTTAAGACAGGGGGGGGGGGTTGTGCAAATTTGTGTTACTTGAGGAGGAAAGTGGACTTTTTCTTTGACTCTGTGGAATCTTTAGAACATACTATGAGGTGCCACGCAACAGCATTCCTGCAATTCCTTTTCATGTTCTGCTAGTGCTGCCATTCATTTTGTTTGTGAACTTTGTTTAGGTATGGATTACCCCCAGAAAGATTGTGGATTAGTGTATTTGAAGATGACGACGAGGCATTCTCTATTTGGCTCAATGAGGTCAGTTATGTAAAACTGCATATTTCTGCAATTTTGCATACCTTCTCTGTTTGTTTGTTTGTTTGTTTGTTACTGCTGTGATAAATATATAGTACATTTAACCACATATCACTGCTAATTCTCATTAATTTAACCCTGTGCATGGTTAAGAATTCACGAGATATATCTGTAGACAAAAAACCTTTAAAATCCCCAGAAAAATATGCAAGTTTTCCATAACAACTCAGTTTTAGTAAAAAGAGAGTAGAGATTCCGTGTAATGAATTTGTGATTCTTCACTAGTTATTTGAAATGTCAAACTTTCATGTGAGAGGTGTAGGGATCGTGTTTGGTATCATGGTACATGACACTCGAAAGATATAATGTTCTTCATTTGGTATTTTGTTAAGCTTATAGCAACGAATTTCTTCCTGCTTATTCTATCCAGGTTGGTGTACCAAAGGAACGGATAAAGAGGATGGGCGAGGATGATAATTTTTGGACTAGTGGTGCAACTGGACCTTGCGGACCATGTTCTGAAATGTATTATGATTTCCATCCTGAGAGAGGATCCTTGAATGCGGTATGTAAAGATTCTATGGCATCGATGGTTAAATGTTCAGTATTTTCTATTCTGTATGGAGTTCTCCAGTAACTGAAATTAGTGATGTTCATATAGTTGTGTGCAGGATTTGAATGATGATAGCCGATTTATCGAATTCTATAATCTTGTCTTCATGCAATACAACAAAAATGATGATGGATCTCTAGAACCATTGAAACAAAAGAACATTGATACAGGAATGGGGCTTGAGCGTATGGCGCGCATTCTTCAAAATGTAATGCTTGGCAATCCTTCAAATGGTCCATAACATTTTTTTTTAGCTACAATCTAACTTTGCACAGTTGTCTATTATATAGGTTCCAAACAATTACGAGACAGACTTGATTTTCCCAATAATGGAAAAGGCAGCAAGCATGGCGCTAGTTTCCTACGGTAAAGCTGATGATGCTATGAGGACAAATCTTAAAGTAAATCAATCTGGATCTATTACTTGTTTCATGATAAATTAGTTGTATGGACATAACCATTGGCATTTTCTCTCTTGCTAGGTAATTGGTGATCACATGAGGGCAGTTGTTTATCTCATATCAGATGGGGTCATCCCCTCGAATATTGGGAGAGGATATGTTGTTCGAAGGCTTATAAGAAGGGTCGTCCGGACTGGTAGATTGATAGGTATGAGAGGTGATGGGCATGAGAACTCTGAAGGTGCATTTTTACCTTCTCTAGCTGAGACAGTAATTAGCCTTAGCAGTGAGATAGATCCAGATGTTGAATCAAGGCGGAAATCAATTCTTGGAGAACTTCTAAGGGAAGAGCTGCGATTTGTACAGACTCTGGGAAGAGGTGAAAAGTTATTAGATGAACTTTTGGATGAGGCATTAGGTAGTGCTGGCGGGGACAAGCCTTGCCTATCTGGAAAAGATGTATTTCTTTTATATGATACATATGGTTTCCCCATTGAGATTACAGCTGAAATAGCTAGTGAACGGGGTGTTACTATTGATATGAAGGGGTTTGATATTGAAATGGAAAACCAAAGAAAACAATCTCAGGCTGCTCACAATGTTATCAAACTTTCTGTGGGAAATGAGACCGAGATTGTCAAAAGTATCCCTGATACTGAATTTTTAGGGTATGAGTCCCTTTTTGCAACAGCTGTTGTTAAAGCTCTTTTAATTAATGGAAACCCAGTAGAAAATGTTTCAGAAGGTACTGATGTGGAAATACTATTAGACCGAACACCGTTCTATGCTGAATCAGGTGGTCAAGTTGGAGACAATGGTTTCTTATATGTGTATGGAGAGGAAGGTGGGAAACAAAATGCAGTCATACAAATCAAAGATGTCCAAAAATCCCTGGGAAACATCTTTGTTCACAAAGGCACAATTAAACAGGGGTCAGTCGAGGTTGGAAAGAAAATCGACGCTGCAGTTGATGGAAAACTGAGGCAGGGAGCCAAGGTATGAAAACTATGAATATTTTTTCTTTCTTCCGTCTTCATGAATTTTATGAATAATTAAATTTTACTTCTGTTTTCATGCATTTTATGAATAATTAATTGTTGGGTCATCTGTGTGCTTTTGCTGGCCGGCATTTTAGACATTTGTAATAATTTTGTGAGCTTTAGACAAATATCATTTAGGCGCCTTTACTGGCTTTAAACAAGATACAAATATTGCTCAAGATAGTTATTTCGTTTTGCTGGTGTCCTCTGATAGCTTAGCATACATTCACATAAAATGTCTGATTGTCTGCAAAGATATTACTGGTAACTGGCATGAATATCAGTAAAAGGAAATGAGCTCTTTGTGACCTCAATTATCTAGTGTCTTCTCAGCATATGCTAGAACATGATGATATTACTGTTGCCTTGAAACAAAATGTTTGCCTCTAACAAATGCTCATCCAGGAAGTTACCGATTGCATCTTTTGCTACAGCACCTATCTATTTCCATTTCTTCTTTAACTTTTTTCTGTTTCCCCGTCTAGGCTCATCATACTGCTACACATCTACTACAGTCCGCTCTTAAAAGTGTCATTGGTTCAGAGACATCACAGGCTGGATCCCTTGTGGCTTTTGACCGCCTCCGATTTGACTTCAGTTTCCATCGGCCCCTTACAGAAAAGGAGTTACTGGAAATTGAATCACTGGTGAACCAATGGATTAGCGACGCAACACATCTCGAGACAAATGTGATGGCATTACAAGATGCGAAAAATGCTGGTGCCACTGCAATGTTCGGAGAAAAATATGGTGAACAGGTTGGTATTTATAAAACAAAACAAATGGCATTCGAAATTAAGATATTACAGCAACATTTCTGCAAAGTCATGTCATAGCATGCAATGTTTAAATTTTTGTGAATTCTGCTAGGTTAGAGTTGTCGAGGTCCCTGGGGTGTCGATGGAACTGTGCGGTGGAACTCATGTCAGTAATACTGCGGAGATCCGTGGATTCAAGATAATCTCAGAACAGGGAATAGCTTCTGGAGTCAGAAGGATCGAGGCAGTTGCAGGTGATGCGTTTGTTGAGTATGTTTGTTCACGGGACAACTACATGCGACACTTATGCTCTTCGCTTAAGGTATGGTCCTACTCATCGTAGCGAATTTGCCCTTTTCCCCTGACATATCATATTTTTCTCGATGACTTGAGTAGCTGAAATCTGTGCATCTGATGATCTTCATACTTGTTCAAATGAATTTGGCATTTCCCTTTTGAAGTGCATTGAAACCCACCTATATGCTACATCAGGTACTAGTTGATCTGTTACAGATGCACATATTACATTTATTACATGTGCAAATTTGTGGAAACTTAAATGTAAAATAGGCAGGCACAAGCCTACTTAATTGTACACACGCTTGTGCCAAACAGAAACAGTTATTTAGAAATCACTTGACTAAACACTTCATGCTTGTTACAAGCAATACCTTGTCCCATGTGGGTAGTGTGATTAGAGAGTGCAAGAGAGAGGTCTGTTGACCGTGCCATTCAAATTTTCCTTGTGTCTGCCATAGACATTTCAAGTATTTCTCATGGAGCATGATATTTTAACTATTAACTTATTTTTCAGGTCAAAGCAGAAGATGTCAACAGCAGAGTAGAAACAATTCTTGAAGAACTAAGAACAGCGAGAAATGAAGCATCATCTCTACACAGCAAAATCGCAGTGCTTAAAGCAGCATCCCTGGCAAGTAAAGCTGTACTCGTTGAACCTCATAATGTCAGGTAATTGCTGCAACTGTTGCCACTCGTATGCACCCTACTTACTGTACTGTCTATCTGGCCTTCACAAAAGTATACAGTATTTTGTGCTATTTATTATTAAACCATCACCTCACATTTGCAACCTCTCCAAAAAATCTGTGTTGTGTAGGATCCTAGTTGAGAACATGGGGGACGTGGATGCTGATGCGCTGAAAAGCGCAGCCGAGCATCTCGTGGGAACCCTCCAAGACCCAGCCGCGGTGATTTTAGGTTCAAGTCCAGGAGACGGTAAGGTGAGCCTGGTCGCTGCCTTCAGTCCTGGAGTCGTGAAATTGGGAGTGCAAGCGGGCAAGTTTGTGGGTGGAATAGCGAAACTTTGCGGTGGAGGTGGTGGCGGCAAACCGAACTTTGCTCAGGCTGGCGGTCGGAAGCCAGAGAACTTACCAGATGCCCTAGAGAAGGCTAGAGCTGAAATTGTTGCAGTGGTATCTTCAAAAGCCAGCTGATCTTCGATAGAGCCATTTACATACATAGGAAATAGAGCATATATTCACAAGCATATGTAAATTGTTGCCCCTTTCTGGGTTTATGTAAATCGTTCCTTCTGGCCACCAAGAGTGCAAGCAGACATTTTTTTTTTGGATCTCTCCTTGACTTCTTCCAAGTGGTATACGCACCGTGGCAAGTGAAAGTTCATTTAAAACATTTTGTAGCTGGTGGGACAACAGTTGCACATATATGCTGGAGTACATAGATTTGGGTCCAGTTTGCAACAAACAAATTGGGAAATACAGGAATACAGAAACCATGAGATAAACATCTCATGTTTGTTGTTGCCGTAGGCTGTTTGGAAGCTTTGCAACTACTCCTTCTGTCCCATAATGTAAGATGTTTTTTGACTCTAGTGTAGTGTCAAAAAAAAAAACATCTTTTACATTATGGGACGGAGGGAGTAAAATACATGAATTTAGGGGGATTTGATTTGCCATCTTTAGCTAATGAACGAAAGGGACAAAGTTATGGTGCTAGACCACCTGTTTCTTTTTCCTCTGTAATAAGGGTTGTGTCTGCCTAAAAGAACAATCCTTGTTAATTGATCATTATCTTGTATTTTGCCATTTGGCTACTTGTTTATGAGGTTAAAATCGTATTCTTTTTCAAACATAGAAAAATGATGAGATATCCAAAGAGTGTGTGGTAGTAGAATTTCGCTTTTAGTGTATTAGAGCATCTCCAACAACGCTTTTAGTGTATTAGAGCATCTCCAACAGCCGCCGAACGCGTCGCGTGCTAAAAACTACTTTGCCGCGCGTCAATCGTCTGATTTGGCGCGGCGTGCAGCGCTGGCTCCAGCAGCCGTGCTAAAATGCAATGCGTGCGCAGCTCCAGCAGTACGCCAAAATGCAGCGCGCGCGACTCTCATACAAACAACATATGCATTCCAAAACAGAAGCAAAAAGATCAAAAACAAACAAAAATAAATCGAAATAAATAGTTTAATTTCATTGTTACAACTCAAATAAACAGTTTATCGTGCAATACAACAAATAGTGCAATAAACAGAACAAATAGTTCAACAATACAATATCGAATGCACAAATCATGATGCTCTTTGTCGTCCATTCTGTGCCCATCACTCCTCAATGAGATCCTTCTGAAGATCATTATGCGCTGCGGGACGTCGAATGGCATGATAGAAGGCAACAAAACATGCCACCCTTTCAGCCCTCCGTCGCACTCGCACGGGATGTCCCAAGAGCTCATACTGAGAGTAGTCTACATCTTGGCCACGCTCATTCTCGATGATCATGTTATGCATGATCACACAAACGTGCATGATGTACCAAAGCATTTTCTGATCCCCTCACAATAGCAAATTGGGCTTGCAAAATCCCAAAAGCTCTCTTCACATCTTTTCTAGCCATCGCCTGAGCATTGTGGAAATCAAGATTTTTCTTACCTTCCGGCTTTTTCAACGGCTTCACAAAGGTTTGCCACTTTGGATAGATGCCATCCGCTAGATAATAGCCATAGTTGTATGTACGACCATTTGCTACAAACTGCACCGGTGGCAAATCACCATTTGCAATCTTACTCATCAGTGGTGACCGGTTGACAACATTGATGTCATTCAAAGATCCAGACATTCCAAAGAATGCATGCCAAACTCAAGTCTCTTGATCGGCCACCGCTTCAAGGATTATAATGGAACCCTTTTTTTGGTCGTGGAATTACACATGCCATGCTTTTGGACAATTCTTCCAACTCCAATGCATACAATCTATTGAGCCAAGCATACCAGCAAAGCCGTGGGCTTTGTTCATCTCCAATAGCCTTGTGGCTCTTCAGCATTGGGAGATCTCAAATACTCCTGGCCAAATACTTGCACAATTCCGACTGCGGAGCGCTTGACACACATGATGGCTTGGCTCTCACCCATAGCCAAGTGATCATCAACTAAATCAGTCGGGATACCGTATGCCAACATACGCAAAGCGGCTGTCACCTTATGAAAGGTGCTGTGCCCGAGCTCTCTGGCAGCATTCCTCCTTTGCTGAAAAAAATCGGTCATGGCTCGCTAGTTTCTCTGCAATGCGCCTGAACAACTCGGTGCTCATCCTAAACCGGCGACGAAAGTACGACTCCGGGTATGTGGGATTCTCCATGAAACAGTGCCTCTTCAATCTGTTACGGGCATCAATCCTATCCCTCCAAAAATTTTGCCGACCCATAACCGAACCACCATGCTTCGGTTTTTATTGATGTGCATAGCTAGGATCATTGTAAGATCCTCCTCCTCTTCCATATCAAATTCTTCTTCGGAAGAATCATACGACGAACTCATCTACAATGTTCAATACTATGCTATAAAAACTACAATCAACATGCACCAAATTCATGAAGTTTGAGTAATACATACCTTGCAGGCGTTTTGTCGAACACCTTGCGGGCGTCGAGCGGCAGCGAGCGCTCGGGCGCTGTTCGTCGGAGGACGAACGCGCGCGAAGGGCGGCGGTGACTAGAGGGGGCGGAGGAAGCCGCCGCGGCGTGGGGATAGGCCGGGGAAGCGCCGGAACGGTCGCCGGATGGCGCGGGCAGCGACGGCGCCGCGGCTGGAGAGGGGGGAGGGGTGAGTTGCGAGCGAGCGCGCGAGAGTACAGCGCGCGGGAGCGGGCGCAGCAAATAAGCGGCGCGCGATGCAGTTTCGGCCCGCGCGCTGAACTAGATATACCGCGCACGCGATTTTTGCGCGCCCGCTGGGGCCACTATACCGGTTGCGTGCGTGCTAAAATGGGAAATTTTACGGCGCGACGCTAGTTTGACACGGCTGTTGAAGATGCTCTTAGTAAGTTAGTCGGATTACAGAACAAATTGCACTTTTGAACACTATTGTGTCACGTTTTCACATTGCACTAATTCTTGGCACTTTGTTTTTATGGCACCGTGGTTTATATAAAGAGATAACTATTTTTCTGAGAAGTTTTCATGACAAAGGTTTACATTGTTTTTATGAGCATGAACACAAATGTTCAAAGTCAACCCTCACTTTTTTAATGCACGCCTTTCCTTTGTATGTCCAGACCATGCACATAACATCTGTCGCACGTTTGAATTATACACTTGTTTTGCCATGACACCCTTTTTTTACCCACGGAAATAATTAATCAAGCACTTAGGATCAGGTTAACATAGTTTAGTCACAAAGCACAGATGCACTCTTTTTGCACAAATTTGTAGACTGATCTTAACTGCATCAACACAACCCAATCACCTCTCTCTAGGGAGATTGCCAGCTATCCATAGCCACAAGTGTATCTGATCCTATTGAGACTCCCGCCGCACCAATGGCATCACAGCTACAGATCTTTCTAGGCCCCCGGTGGCCTCTGCTCGCTACACTGCGTTAAATAGCCCCCGCATTCTATTCTGTGCTCTCAAGCCATCTCACACTAAGCATCTCCCTCACTACATCGGAGAACCTAAGGGACAACTCCCGTCTTAGCAGCCCAATGGCGGCGGCCACTATGTCCCTCTCCTCCCCGGCCTTCGCCGACAAGGCGGTGAAGAATGTGTCGTTGTCGGCCCTCTTCGGCGAGGCACGTGTCACCATGCGCAAGACTGCGGCAAAGGCAAAGCAAGTTGCTTCGAGCAGCCCATGGTACGGTGCCGATCGTGTGCTCTACCTTGGCCCACTATCAGGTGAGCCGCCGAGCTATTTGACCGGCGAGTTCCCCGGTGACTATGGGTGGGACACAGCTGGACTCTCAGCTGACACTACTAAAAAAAGACCTACTAATGGTGCACCGGTTTTGCCTACTAATGGCGCATCACCGGTGCGCTATTAGTAGCACGTCACTAGTAATTTTTACTAATGGCGCACCACTGATGCGCCATTAGTATCTAGTATATTAATGGCGCATCAGACAGTGCGCCATTAGTTTTACTCACGGTGTGCCACTAGTGTCTGCTATACTAATGGCGCACCACATGGTAGTGCATCATTAGTAACAATTTTTTTAATTTTTTTTTCTTAATCTCAGGTCACTATTTCACCTATGAGATATCCAACACATATATATATATACAACAAACATCCATATAACAATCATAGCCAACACACAAGTTTCATCATATATACATACATAGCCAATACATAGTTCCACCGTTACATATTACAAAAATTTCACATTGTTCATCCAACACCGTTATCCATCAATTCACAAAAGTTTCACATTGATACAAAATAAAAACACAAATGGAAAAGAAGCACTCCATCCATGCAAACTTCCGTGAATTAAATCAAATCTGCAAAATGATAAACAAGAAGTTAGAAGAAGAAAAAGAAGAAGACTAGAAGAATACTAGAAGAAGAAGAACACTAGAAGAAGAATAAGAAGAATTTTGGAAAAGAAGAAGAATAAGAAGAAGACTATAAGTTTATTATGTAAACTTGATCATTTTATGCTAACATAAGTTATTTTGGAGCTAACCTATAGCAAACTAAGCATATAAGCTCTAAGTTAGTATATTAGAGCCAACTTAGGTAAAATGAAGCTAACCTATGTCATTTTGGAAAAGAAGAAGAATAAGAAAAAGACTATAAGCTTATTATGTAAACTTGATCATTTTATGCTAACATAAGTTATTTTGGAGCTAACCTATAGGAAACTAAGCATATAAGCTCTAAGTTAGCATATTAGAGCCAACTTAGGTAAAATGAAGCTAACTATAGGAAACTAAGCATATTAGAGATAACATAGGTAACTAAGTATATATATATATATATATATATATATACATACATATATATATATATATATCATTTTGGAGATCTGACATACCTGACAAAGTTCAGTTCTCGTGCATTGTTCTTCTCCTTCTCCTTCCTCAGCCTGATGCGCCAAGAGCGGCGAGGCAGTGGAGGCGGTGGAGGCAGTGGGATGTAGTCTTCTACCTCAATTGGCGTGGTCATGTCGCCCAGCTGTGGGATCGCCGGCGCCACCACCGATGCGTGGTCATTGTCAGGCACCACCACCATCGCGAGGCCACCTTCAGGCACGACCATCGCTAGGTCATCCTCAGCCACCTCCATCTCTTGCCCATGGTCAGCCACCACCATCTCTTGCCCACGGTCAGCCACCACCATCTCTTGCCCTTGGTCAGCCACCACCAGCGCTAGGTCATCCTCAGCCTGATGCCCATCGTCATCCTGCAGCTCCTCATCCCCACTCTGCTCCTCTTCTCCCGCACTCCAGTCCGGATCATCCTTCTTGTTGTCTATGCTGCTGCCGGAATCGCTGCTGCTTTCGCTACAGCTAGAATCGCTGCTACTTTCGCTACAGCCATAGTCGCTGCTGCTTTGGCTGTAGCCATTGTCGCTGCTGCTGCTCCCATTACCTGTCCAAATGCAACAATTACCGTTAACAATCGATGTGAGACAAAGCCAAATGTAGAGGAATAAGAAGAGGCAGGACGTACTGGCATCATAATCTTCAGCGTAGCGCATGCGACACATAGTCGCGTTGAACACCTTCACGATGAGCATGGTGGCGTCGTCGTCGTACCTGAAGAGAAGGAAGTACCCCAGCCGTAGGTCGTAGGCACGGTAGAACTTCTCCCACCCATGAGACAAGTACATGTGGCCCTCCTTGATCACCAACTCCACATCCCACAGCCTGCGAAACCCGCTGCCGGCCTGTCGCAACTTCACATTATTTGGCGGATCTTCACCCATCAGCATGTTCATAAAACTGTCAGGCAGCCTCTACAGTTTGGGACAATGAGTGTTGTAGCAAACAAAAAATATCATAATGAGATGGGTGAAGGGGAGATATCTCGTTTTATATACCTGCGTCATGGATGATACTGAAGTCCCAAGTATGATAGTGAAGAACTCGGAAGCATCCAACTCGTACTGCGGTGTCGCAGAGCGGCGGTGGCTGCTTCCCGCCATCTCTGATAAGCAGCAGAAGAGACCAATTAGTACCCTTACAACAGATCATAAAACATGCATGATAACAGGCATCACAAGTAATTCAGAGGCATAACAAGTAATTCAGAAATTGTGAAACAAGCCTTTCAATGTACGAACTTGAAAGAACTACCGAGGCTTCTGCGACAGTTCAGAAAAGTAATGATCAATTCTCTCTATTTCTGTTTCTAGTTCACATAGTTTGATAACTTGGATGCATAAAGGCTATTGGTGCAGTATCATAAGGTTCCATATCATGTAGAAGAAAAAAAGATAGGTGACAATAGCAAGCACACATCTGAGTAGACATTAGCAATATATGACAGAAATGTACATGCCGATTAACAAGCTTGGGCTTAGCAGTAATATTCTGAGAAAATGTTTTCTTGAAGCCTGAACAAGTGGCTTTCCTTTTTTAAAAACAGAACCAAAACCATGACACAATCACTTGACAACATCTATTGACTACATTAGATGGAGAACTACTCAAGCGGTGCAAGCAAGCAAAATTGCCAAGCTAGTGCACCAAGTCCAAATTCAATTAAAGCAAGCTCTTCCTACTGCAAGGATACTGAGCTTTCGAATTGTAGAGAATTTGTTGCTTTCACTTGCCATAATCTATTCCAGCTAGTTGCTGCAAGTGGATGCAATTATAAATTGCATGGCTACAGAAAATATGAGGACGAGCAAGTGGGTGCAATTATAAACTCACTTACAGTAGCAAGCAAGCACATCAAAATCTGAACCAGTATCTGAGCTAGTACTCCAAACTGTATGTAAAATGTGCTCCTACTAAAAAAACAGGACATTGTGCCTGTCAAATATGCAGTTCTCCTTATCAACCTACCTAGCAGTAACAAAACCAAAAAAACTCATGCGGCACCTACATGAGTAGCAGGAGTATCTCTGAATTGTGATGCTAGGTTATTAATTTCTTATAGAGTGCACCATTTAAAGGCATTGATGTGATTATTTCTCTGGAATTATGTATCCTAAACTAGCAAGGTTATATTTAAAGGCATTTACAGAGTGCACCATTTAAAGGCATTAATTATGTATCCTAAACTAGCAAGCTGTTAACATGTCACTTGATAAAACATGGAGAAAACTACCTAAAGCGATGCAAAGCCTGCTTTGAAGAACGATTTAGAGAATAATAAGAAGCCACACAAAGCTAACAACAGCAAATTAGCACCAGGCAGAAGCAAAAGGGAACGAATTACTACTACCCTTTACACTAGCACTGACCCTTCACAGTAGCAAAAGATGTCTACATACTCGCACCATTCGTCCATCCATCTAGCAAGCAACTAGCACAATTCAGCCAACCATCAAGCAAACCATCTACTACCTAACATCAACACACATCCATCTATCCAACATCCATTGATCCATGTAAATAGCAGCATGGACAAGAGAGGAACAGGGAACAGAGAGATGAACAAGGAACATGGAGGTGAGTAAGGAAGAGGGGCTTACCACGGGCAGCGCGTCGAAGGAGAGCAGCCGCCGGCCACGCGCAGGGAGAGACGGCGGGAGGTGGCGACGATGGTCACGGCACCGTCCTTGGTTCGCCGGCTGCTGCTGGGGAGACCGGAGGCGGAGGACGACAGGGGCCGGCGGGGTGGGCGCGTGCGTCGGGGCCGAGGTCGCCGGCTGCTGCAGGGGTCGAAAGAGGCGCTCGCTCGTTCGAGGTGGAGGAGAGGAGCGGGCGATGGGGCGAGGAACCCTAGTGCGA